AGCAGGAGATATCTTAGAGGTCTATGTTCAGCATATTAAGTATAGGGTTGAGTTTTTTAAAATAGGATTTTATCCAGACTCAAGTGGCCGGTAAGGAAGAGCATGAGTGTACGTTGACAGATGTTTGTGATATAATAGCAACTGACTAGGTTTAGCAAGTTATAGAAATGCTGTTATTTCAATTGGCTAACTTTTTAGATTTTTTTCAGCATTTTTAAATTAAACAAAAACTAGGTTAATCACAAGTGGGTGCAATTAAAACAATGTCTGTCATGCACACTCATGCAAGTACATAATTGTAACATGTGCTGTACTAAATGAACAAATAAATAGTTTGTACATTCACTTTACCAACTTTGTGAGTAAATTTTCATTAAAATTAATGCAACAATAAAACAAAAATATGTCTATTTATATACAATAATATTGATCAATGGTCCCACAATAACATGCTGCTGATACTTTAATTAAGGTACATTATATGAGAATACAAAAATAACCTGCATATAATGCACCTATCAATGTTAACTCCCAAAGGGGGGGGGGGGCATATGTGGGGTATTTGATCATTAATTGCATATCCACCCCAGGGATTTTGATTAGTCATAGTTAACTATGGATTAGCATTTGGGCCCAAGTTAGGGCAATTTGAATCAAAATTACTTTTATTAATATAGTATTTATTGCAATTTATTGCAAAATGGTAGGGTATTTGACCAATATTTATTGCCCAACAGTGGGGCATTTGACCCCCCTCTCTGGGGCTTAACATTGATAGGTGCATAAGAACCACCATTTCTCAAACTTTATCTGAATTAGTTGTGTAACAGCATTTATACAAAATACTGTTAAAAAAGGCCAAGTGGGCCTTCACTACTATAAAGGGCATTCTATCCAATGGCATTATAGGACCAATATTTCCATGGCGTTGTTCTCCAAAGCATCGAGCAGCGTTATAAATCAGATTGTCTTTTTTACCAGCATGAAGTACAGACATAGCCTTTGCAACAATTGGGATGAGGGACAAATTTAGCATCTAAACCAAGAGCATCTAAACCAGCATCTTTACCAGCCATTTTTGAAACGGGTGGATGAGTAGCTGTTCTTGTTGTCACTGCATGGGTCAGTTTTGAAAATCCAGAAGTTATGTCAAGTCATCATATCATATCAGTAACATTACCAGAGAAGTGAACAAGTTTAGAACTCCAAATTTAATGATGATGCATAATTCTTGCAGACGAAATCATTGACAAAAATAGAATCCTCTAGCCAAAATCACAAATCTATAAAAACATCAGCCAAACAATGAACTTCACCAATAAAATCTTGTTACAGAAGTGCTTTAATTTTTTACATACTTTAACCAATATATATAAATCCATAATATATCGAAACTTCTATAGTATATCAAATTTCTTTAGAAAAAAGCTAATAATAGCAGTTCATTATCGATCTGAGTGACAAGGCAGCATATTTTACAAAGGGCTATATTCAACGGTGAATATCTCGAAAACGGTTGAGAGGCCGAGGGGGGCCGGCTGGATAGAATTAAAGATTATACTTTTATTTAACTAATCGTGAAAAAAATAGCGAAATCGAACCATGGAGATTTGAGAATTTTGTCTTCAAAGATTGTTGACAGAAACGCCATTAAATTACATCGCGACGTCGTAGCGCCTAAGTGAGAGGTCAAAATAAACTGGAAAATGACGCTTACCTTTTAAGATACCGTTCCAATGGGTAGATTGACTGTTGTAGAAGTAGTATCGCGTGAAATTTCCCGAAAAAATTGCATAACAATATGAAAAAAATCGATATTTATGAGCCCTATATAAATTTTCGATGCCAAAAGCTTCGTGCGAGCATGAGGAAAATGGCGCAATCTGATTGGTCGAGATGTTCGCCTAATTGGCTGTCCAACCTCCTCTGCCCCCCGGGCCGACCCCGGGAATTTGAACTTTTTGAAATTTGACTGATCAAATTCTCCACCCTCTGTGCAAAAAATGTCTTCAAATGCCCCACTGTAACAAGAAATTAAGCGTTCAAATGCCCCACCTTCATATGAAAATTATGAAACAGTAAATACAAAAAGTACAAAATATACGGAAATGTTTTCGACAAGATAGCGAAATTCGCGTAAACAGTACCTTGTGGAAATTTAACAGTTTTACACGTTATGTAGTACATACCTTCAAATGAAACACATAGATTTTCCATGCCCGTTTCTTTGAGCCAGTTTTTTCACAAAATTGAGGCCGTTTCCCTCGAAATCTGAGAAAACTGTATTTGCCGCCAATACGAAGTATTTTCTGTGCATACAGGAAGCACGCGAAAACGGGCAACATTTTAAGACTTCCGGTTCAAATTCCCCACCCCGTTATCAAATGCCCCACCACATGGAAGACTTAGAACGTCAAATTCCCTACTCCCTGGAGAAGACTTGAAGTCAAATTCCCGGGGTATGCCCGGGGGGGGGGGATGGTGAAGTTTCGAATTGATCGATACATAAGGCTTCGCTGAGAGAGCGAAACAGAATACGGTAATTGCCGTTTGAAACGAAACGATCTGGACGCTCTGAACGCTCTCTTCTTTTGTAGAGTTCTTTACCAAATGAAATAACTGAAATAAATTTCGTACTTTCCGCCGCCAACAAGAATTGCACACGCGATCTGATAAGTGAGACAATTTATTTATAACAATGGCGACAGCGAAGCACACATTAATGCTAATGTGGTCGCACGACTTCCCTCACGATTTGAAGTTTGAGACTGGCTTTCTGTTGAAATTCGTCCTAATTTGCCTGTTCCGATTTTAGTTGAAAATGAGCACTTGCAAATTTGGCAATTACTGACTGCGTTGCTTGCTTTTTTGGAGTTAAAACGCAGCCATTTACACATTGTTTATGTTCTGAATAAGCAGAGAAAACCCCGCAAATTTTAATGCGAGTTTGTTTGTTAATATTTGGGTGCTGTCATTGGTTCTTTTTTGACAATTGACGCGCGAATGGGGCGTGTTATGAAAAGGGGCGTTTTACAAAATACCGGGCGATGGTTGCAGGCCCACTATTAGTTCCCTTGGGCCTGCACGCAGGCTACGGGCTTTAAGGCCCATATCAGTGATACAGACCGGACGCTGGTTGGTAACGCGACGCGAATTTGCAATTTTCAATGACATTTAACTTTAATATTTTTCTACGTTTTTCAAACATTCGGAATCACTCAGGCAATTTTATCTATTTGGTCTGCATATTTTGTAAAATTTTTCAGTATCCGTTGACGGTTTTACTTGTTTTTAAAAACTGAAAATTCGCGTCGCGTTGACGAATCGCGTTCGGTCTGTGTGGACCTTTAGTGGTCAGTGTTTCGTGAAATCGATCAATCAATCAATCAAACTTTATTTACCAACGGTACTATTTCACAAAGACAAAAACTAAAATATTTACAAGATGTGATCTTCCAATAGGATGTGCAATGATCGTCCAATAGGCTGTAATTCAATCTTTTATATTCAGACTCCATTGTATAATATAGATTTATAAGTCTTATAATCATTGTCACTTATGAGGTTAGGTTCAGCGCGGACGTGACTGCGCGTTTGAAAGCACATGAAATATAAATGCATTTTCCGAGTGGGTGCCGGTCGATTTTTATTGCAAACTGTTTCCGTCGCATAGCGTAAATTTTGAAAGTTAGTTTACGCCAGAGAGGTGAGAAAATCAGGGATGGGACATATTAAAACGCAAACATAAAATTTGCAGTCTGCAAACTGTTTCGTGTATAATGTTTATGCATTTTTAATTTAAAGCAGGTTTTACGCCAGAGAGGCATGAAAGTCATGGTTCAAAATAAAATTAACACAGGGTTTATTAATATGGATATTATTCTTACAGACGCACTGGATGCAGTTTTGGGAAGATAACACCATGCAGCCGATGTATGTAATGGCATGGTATACCATGTAACTATTATAGTAATATCCATAAAGATATTACTCGACTGTGATTGGTTGATTTCAGTGCAGTTAATCCCAAACAATATACATAAGATATTACTCGACTGTGATTGGTTGATTTCAGTGCAGTTAATCCCAAACAGCAGTGCAATTTTCTGTAATCACAGTGCAATTTTCTGTAATCACAGTGCAATTTTCTGTAATCACAGTGCAAAAATCTGTAACAAACTGATCTGATTGGTGGAAAAACATTGTGATGATTAAATCAACCAATCAGTTTAAAGCAATTTAGTTTAAAGAAGTATAACGGTCACTGATTGCTTCAAAAAGTAAATGGCGCCGCGCTTTATTTTTAAATGGAAAAGCATTTACCTTAAACAAAACTAACAAAAATTACATAGTTAATTGAGTGGAATTTTCAAGCTGTTAGCGTTGTATAATGTGATATAACAAAGCCAGGAAAACTTTGCCAGTGGAATGTTCGCTATAAACGCGTAAGTTAAAACTACAATTGTCTCGAACATTTTTATGTAAATTATTAATAAGTAATAGCATGGTTTCTCGTGAAATTTGGATAAACATGCACTCGTGAGTTTTTCAAAGACCTCAAATAGCACTCGTCCTTCGGACTCGTGCTATTTTGAGGTCTTTGAAAAACTCACTCGTACGTGTTATATCCAAATTGCACTCGAAACCATGCTATTACCTATACTAATACCGTAACCAAACTAAAGTCGTACCGTAATATTTTGGGCGCAACAGAAAGGGATTTACAGTCCATATTTGGCGTGATCCATTACCTATGTATGGGTTCGTGTAGCTTGTAAGAGAGCTGTGCACGAGGCCCTTAAAACAGGGTCTTTCTTAACTATGCGACTGAGGGATCAAAGCCCCTCCAGCACGCGTGGTCCCCCCTCACTCAACCATTTTGCTCCTCCCCCAGCCAAAGTCGCTTTTCTGGAAAGTATAAGCAAAACATTGGAAGAAAAACATAATTTAGAAGGGAGGTTGTTATTATAGTAACTGAAATTTGCTTAGTGAATCTTATGGCGATCCTGTCCTTTATCTTCAAATGATTTAATGTCTTTTTTAAAATGCTAAACATTAATTGTCGCAAATACCTTAGATTTTAAAAATTTCCAAGTGGATAGCATGTCCCAGACCCTATAGATTTGAGTTGTTGGAAGGCTAGGCTAAACAAGTTAGTAACCAAGTTGGGGTATGTACATAACTATACCATACAAGTACTTGAAGTACTTAACTGCAGATTCAGTCCATCTACAGTATAATGTAACGCTATATGGCCAAAAATCTGTTTCAGAAAACGCACGCAATGCAGTCCTGAGGGTGGAAAAAATACAAAAATCTTACATCAAATACAAAAATCGTGCCTCTTTCCTGGAATAGATCATGCTATTGGTCAATGAAATGGCCGATTGCAGATTATTATATAACAAGACGCCTGCTCAGGCGTTCACACTGCCTGAAAATAACGAGATATGTGCTATGGTACAAAAGGCAGGAATACAAATCTTAAACCGCAAGCAAATTTTATGGACTTTTTAAAAAAATAAAAGGCCTTTTCGGGAGACGTAATGGAGATCGATGCACGTACAAATCATGCCGACCTACAGAATCGATTTCCGGTTTTTCCTAACAGCGCGTTGTTTTCATGTGCGTTCCATGGGCCGCGCTAAAAGTATAAATATTCTGTAAATACCGAAATAAAAGATGAAAATCTCAAGACACAAGCTTGAAAATAACACTATAAATAGTGTTTTCGATTCTGGTTCCAATAACATTATCACGAAAAAGATATGTCCAAAGGGGCCGAAGTTATGTTCGGCAAAATGTATGGCTAGTTTACATTGTTTGTTGTATTATGAAATATGATACCATACTTGTATTAAAATTCGCGTCGAACTAATGTTATTGTAAATGAGTAGACTTGCCACAAGTCGACCTCGAACGAAATGCGTTTCTTCGAGGTCGACTTGTGGCAAGTCTAGCAAATGAGAACCATACAAATGATACAATAATGGTTCCTGTTCTTGTTGGTATTTTGAACGCACGCTTTATCTTTAGTATAGCTACCACAAAGCTTTTTATTTTCGTGGAGTACTAAATATTATATTTTGTGGTTTTCGAGTCATTACACAAAGAAAAACACATTAATTCAACACGCAAGAAAGTCCAGAGTACGACACAACGTAAAATACATAGGAAACCGGCACAATTCTTTGAAAATTCAACGAAACTGTGTAAAATATAGTTTGATCACTCTGTGAAAAGCCGCCATTGCAGTTCGGAATTGTGCGTACAAGTGTATAGGCTAATAAACGAAAAATGTATTACAAGCATGGCATGAGTCGGCTATTACGTACATATATACGAGCTTATTACTATAGTATCTAAATCATGGAACCGAGGGAATCGATGGCATTTTGGCTTAATCGTTGCACTCTGAGCCTGCGATGAGCTAACGCAAACTCGATGTCTCGACTACGAAAAAAACAGAAAAAGGGGGATTTAAGACACTTGGCCTTACAGGCCAGTGTAATTATTTGGATGTAGCACATATAATAACCCGCTTCCAGTTTCACTGCTGTATTTGCATTTCATATGCACTACACCGGAGCTAGGAACATAATGACGCTACGTTTTACGTCTGTTCACACTAAGCTGTTACGATTTCGGTACGGTTCGCAAAACGAGCTCAAATAATGAAAAAATATTAAGAAATTAAAAAATAATAATAAAAAGTTAATAAAAACATATGCTAAATTAAAAAATAATAAAAAATGGTAAAGTGGAGCAAGATAAAGCCGGTGCCGCTGTTTACACGAAGCCGCCAAGCGCTCCGTTTACATCTCTCTCCGTTTAGAAACCATGCTCAAATTGTTACGGCGAAAGTGACGTCTTCAAACAATTTCGCTCCGGTGTAGTGTGAACACGACGGCTAAATGTGACTTTTCCGCGCCATTCTTAAACCGCTCTAGACTGTGAGCGGTCCCTCCATTCCGTGGGTTAGGTTCCAGGGCATGCGAGGGAAAAGGAGGGAAGAAACGAAATACGCCCACTTTTCGCTCTTATCAAGTTGGCTCCGCCTTTGCATAAACATTACTTATTTCCAATTAAATTAGATATATCCAAAAAGGAGCCGTTAATTTACGCCTGTCGTGTTACGACATTCAGTCTGGAAATTATTTATAGCATTATTACTACATAGCAGATTTGATTGACATGAGGCACATCGATTTCGACCAATGGGAATTTTGCGTTGTGTGGGCATCGCGTATATTTCGTTTCTTGATGTGTTGTCGGCAGTTCCTCCTTTCTCCTGAGGGACTGCTCGCGGTCTACAAACCGCTCAAGCCGTCCAGCGTATTGTGAACGTAGTCTTATAGGCAAGTGAACTTGGTGTAAAGTATATAATCATTAATGATTAATCAGTCGTAATTATTTTGTAGGTATTCGACGGAAACGCTTGAAAGGTGATACGTGGGCTTATAAAAAGATTTGTGAAGAAATTTTAAAAGAAGCTGATTTATAGAAAGTACTGTATTATATTTTATTTATGATATTTCACGATCACCATCAATGGGTAAGCGAATACCTCTGCGGGAATGTCTCGGTGAAAATGGAATTATTTACAGTCTGTTTCCATATGCATTGGTGGGAAATGAACCTTGCTTATCTACTTGGGATTTGGCTCATTCTCCCAGAATAACGAAGCTTTTGAAACTAAAATTGAAGAGCGTTCATTCACAATGCTGTTAACGTCGCGCAAGTTAAATAATAAAGTATGTCGGCTATTCACACACACGCCCTTTCTATAAAGCATGATTAATGATTTAGCCTTTACCATAGGAATATTTAGTTAGTTTTTGAATTGTAGTGTACATTAATTAACCTATTTACTTCAAAACTATTTTGTACAAATATAATGAAACAAATTGGACGTAGAAAATTTTAGTCCTACATCAGTGCAGATAAAATGGTTATACAGCCTATGTCAATTACTAAATTCATAACTTTAAACGCATATTTGTTTTCATAACACCTACAGTTAAGTTAAGTAATTGTGAAACGAAACGTTTGATTGTATTATAATTAATTTCTAATAAGAATTCAATTCTTTTCCATTTGCGGCATTATATTTTGTTAGATCTCTTCAGGCGAACAAGCAGCTTAAGTAAACCTGACATATAGTACAGCCAAAATATTTCCCTCATTAAATTGGCCCAAAACATCGCATTTACTCGACTATATATTTATCTATGAATCCAACATCAACAAATTTTTGCTGACATCAGTAATAAGCACAGACCTCCTACTTTATAGTATCAGTCATATATGTTCCCATGTGACCATAATTTTCCAATCAGAAACTTCCTTCGTGGGCGAGCGATAATTTGAAAACAGTTGCTGTTGGTTATAAAACTTCGAATTGCATTTGAAGGCAAGGGTGGGTTGAGTACAAAATTTTTGTAGTTCGCTATAACTACAGCTACTTCAAAAATATGCAGTCAGCTATAACTACTGCTACTTTTGAACAAAGGCAGTTCGCTACTGACTACAGCTACTGCTTAAAAAATGTAGCGAACTATTTCGCTATTCCGCTACGGGGGTTGAAATATTTTTGCGATTACATGGACGATTTCAACCCCGGGGTTGAAACGCTGTCATATATGTTCTCGGCATCGATTCCC